ACAGCAGTGGTTGCTAGTAAAATATACAGGATGATGGTCCAAAGACTTGGCAAGTGATATTTGTGAATTTCTTCTTCATTTTCGATCGGCATCATAGGATCGGTAGGTAACTCTTTAAGATTTAGTTTATTTAGTTCCACTTTAAATTTGGGACGAGTATGAACTTTTGACTGAAGATGAACTGTATTAACTATGAGTGGTTTACCATAACTTGTTTCTTGAAAATTTAATTTTCGTCCTTTGAATACTAAGTTACAGGAGTCTTTCTTAATTAGGTAGATACCTGTAAGTGATATAGTTTCAATCGATTTTTGACATTGGGCTTCGATTTTCTCTTCTTTTGGAAATACAGCCAAATATTGGTTAATTTCGGGTACAGTTTCGATGTGATTTTCATCGATTTTTAATCGAATGAAACGGCAACCGCTAGAGTTTTGATTTAAGAGAATATTTTCTTCACAGGGTGTTCTGTAATTGGCTTGTAGACTGTTCGGACAGTGATACCATTTACCTTGGGTACACATGTCGGATAGAGGTTTAATTGTGCCTTCATTTTTGGCTTTTAAAACAAGTTTCGTGTTTGGAATTATCGTTAAGTATTCTGATTCATGCCTTGTTGGTATAGATAGCATATTAAATAAGTCATATTCTTTTTCAAAATAGATAGGGATTGATAAGAAATATGTTATTCGATTTGGGTCTATTTTGCAATGAATTTTTAAGAGAGACTCAAAATTTAAAATATTTTCATATTTGACTTCAAAAGGCAAGGTGGTACCATAATGAAATTCGATTTTCTGGATTTCTAGAAATAAGTCGCTAGATTTAATTATACTAGGATGCAATACATTTAATCTGCAGAATGTTATTGAATTTTCGATATCCTGCAAGGTATTGAGAATGGTATTATAAAGTATGTTTAATTGATTGAATATATCTTTTGCAAAAAGAATATCTTGATGTGTAGCACCGTTTTCAATGAATACACTTAATTGCATAATTTTTGCTTTTAAAAATTCTTCATTATGTTGAACATCTTGAATAGTTTTATTGAAATTACTTATGATTTGATGATTTACAGAATACTGATATTTTAATTGATTTTGTAAATTTTTTCGTTAGTTTGAACGTGATTTAGAATATTTTTTTTTGAGTTTGTGACTTTTTTGGTCTTTTAATGTCTGACAAATGTATTTTTTCACGGGTGTTACCATGTGTTTTTTCTATTTTTGCAGTTTTTCGATCTGGGTTAACAGTGGATACAGTTTGTTTTTGACAAAAACTTTCTCGGGAATTTCGGGAAGTTTTTCACAATTTTCATTTGCTTTTTGTATAATTTTTTCTTTTTTCCTTTGTATGTTCTCATTTAAATTTTGATATAAAAGTTTAACTTTTTCCTTATGTTTTTCTACATAATTATTGACTAGTTGGTTTTCAATGTTTATATTAAATGGTGAATTCGTATCTAAATGAC